ATTCAGAGTCACAATATAAAACGCAGCCAGTGATTTTAAAATGTGAAAACAAAATCTAACCAAATCTAAGTTTCTGCAAACATGTTTTTTACTTGTATTTTAAATTAATATGGCCTAATATGGTTTCAGCTATAGATGCTTCTTCTCTCAACATCCCGGAAACTTCAATTATGTCTGGTCGTTTCTAAATCCAAGAAATAACAGTATAATCAAAGCTATTTTTTTTTGTAAAGCTGAAAATAAACATGTTTTTGCTGGTCGGTACACTACTGCCAAAATTCAATGTAGGAATTAATCTCTGTTATGCATGTACGCACATGCACATTAAAACAATGTATTCAGATCTGACAGCGTATGCTGTTCCAATACACCGGCACTGCTGAAAATATTCAAGTAATTTTGTTGCTATGTTGCTTGAAATAGTAGGTCATACAGTTCACTTTATTAATATACCTACTTGAGCTTTTTTTCAGATTTTGTACCATTACAAAAATACATTTGGATGTTTTTTAAGTCTAAAAGTAAAATATTTTATAATTTAGAAGTTTGAATGTAGCTCAGATAGGCATTGTAAAAAAAAAGAAGAATGTGTCAGCAGTTGCACATATGTTACAACCCAATTACTGCGTATAAATGTTGTTAACTTGTTCCTAAGTAAAAGCTAACTTGAAGATGGGGAAACCTAATAGAGAAATTGAGAATTTATGGGTTTTTTCTGCAGTGAAAAAAGAAAACATATTAAAGACTTAAGACTGGTACAGAGTCAGTTTAACTTGTTTTGGTCAAATGTGTTTTAATTTGTATCTGTAACATGTGATGCTTAACAGGTGTGAATACTTTTGCTGACATGAACAGGTGAGTGAGACGTTTGCCATCTGCTCCATGCTTGTTCCCACCCTTTCTGGGCGTAGTTTTATTGTGAAAGCGTGCAGGCTGCAGTTTTTTTTCTTTCTTCAGCAAGCTTTTTATTTGTTTTATACATTGAAAGCAAATACAACAAAAATAACTGCTTCAGTCTCAGTTGTTGATCCCTTCTTTCACCCTGTTCCTCTTCAGTTAGGCTAACAGGATGTGTTTTAACAGGTGTGGTTTTACAAACGGTTCTACCTGTAAATCAGTGGGAGACAAGCGCTCCCTCGTGTCCACCTAAAGTGATTTCAGTATCCTATATTTTACAAGTTTTATGAAATGTTTAAAATACATCGAGAGAAAGGGAACCCTAAAATAGCACATCCTAGATCTGAATAATTGAAATATTGTCATTGAGGTGTCACTGTGGTGCAATGTGATGTTGTTGGATGGATCGAAACACGATGTCCAGTCCACACATTCAATGTCTTCATCTTGCAGGGACTGCTGACACAGTCCAGCAGCATGAGGTCTAGCATTTTTCTGCATTAGGAGGGACCCAGGGCCAACCACACCAGCATATGGTTTCACTAGTGGTCTGAGGATCTCATCTCCATACCTAACGGCAGTCATACTACCTCTGGTGGAAATAACGGGCTTTGCGGCCCTCCAAATAAATACCACCCCACACTATTACTTACCCACTGCCTAACTGGTCAAGCTGAAGGATGTTGCAGGCAGCAGATCACTCTCCACTGTCTCTCCAGGCTTTGTCACGTCTGTCAGATGTTTTCAGTGTGAACCTGCTTTCATCTGTGAAGAGCACAGGGCACCAGTGGTGAATTTGCCAATGCTGATGTTCTCTGGCAAATGCCAAGTGTCCTGAACATGTTGGGCTGTGAGCATAAACCCTGTCTGTGGACATTGGGCCCTCATACCATCCTTATGGAGTCTGTTTCTAGCCGTTTGTGCAGACATATGCACATGTGTGGCCTGCTGGAGGACACTTTGCAGGGCCCTTCTGTTCCTCCTTGCACAAAGGCAGAGGTAGCATTCCAGCTGCTGGAGTATTGCCCTCCTACAGCCTCCTCCTTCCTTGGCAGTGACTCAGCCTTTGGACACTACGCTGACAGACACAGCAAACCTTCTTGCCACAGCTCACATTGATGTGCAATCCTGGATGAGCTTCACTATCTGAGCCACTTGAGTGGGTTCTAGAGTTTATCTCATGCTACCACCTGATCTCTATTCAATTTGCACAACAGCATGTAAAACTGATTTTTAATCAGCGTTGCTTCCTAAGTCTACAGTTTGATTTTACAAACGTTTAATTTGATTGAAGTTATATTGTGTTGTTCATGTTTTCACTGTATTTTTTTGAGAGGTGGGTCACTTGGGATCATTTACGTAACATCTATCATGTATACAGGTCTCAATAAACAACTCAAGCTTAAATTCTTTTTTAATCCTACTGTCCAGAAAAAGGGGGAAACTCACTTTTTCAGTATCTTACATGTGCACAGTGTGTATTACTTATCAGAACAGGTTTTCATGCAAAGTGTTTAAAATGTGGTGTGAGGTCTTTCTTTAGTCCTACAGATTTACTTTTTACCAAATGAAACTTTATTTTCCTATGAAGTCCTTCCAACAGATATCTCATTCCTCATTAAATAGTTTATATTTCAACATTTAAAATATTTTTTTCAAAATATACATTCATCAGGCTTCAATTCTAGGCTTTGAATTTGGTCTGTCATCATTAAAATAACGGTCCTAGTTAGAACAACATTTGATTTTTATACCGTAATTGTGCATTTTTCTCTTTCAGGATAAGGAAGTAGTTTGCAGGTTGTAATAGTGTATTATGGAAAGAAAAACTGCTTGAAAACTCCTGCTTTGCTTGGAAAAACAATCGAAAAAAAA